TTTCCAGAGCTAATCGTTGCTCTTTCGAGAATAAGTAGTCCTGTAGTCGTGATATGTTGAGCAAAAATTGCCGGTTACACATGACAATTTTGGTCTCGGCTTGTGTGTCGTGTCCTTGGGATTTTAGAATATTAAGGATTCCCATTGTGAAAATTAGAACAACATATGTAAGCGAACAATTGTTTTCAATTAGATCGTCATCAGGCTTTACTCTAATATACATGAATATTTATATGAAAATGTTAGACCAATCAAGGCTATTTGAGTCAATAATAATCACAATGAAATAGAAATACGTTATCAAGCATAATAATAGTTAAAAAGTACAAGTTGATGGTGGGAAGATAGGTGTACTGATAGTAGTAAGAATAGTAAATTACGATAACAAAAGTCTTATCAATAATTAAACATAAGAATTAAGAGGTCAAACGTGGGTAAATAGTCTGGAATAGTAATCACAAAACATTAATATCATTACGTAATAAGAAGTATGTAAGTAAATAGATAGTGAAGAATACAAACGGAAAGAGGTAGAAAATTACAAACAAACAAAAAATGATAACCAAAATAAAAAAATTTTGCAAATAATAATAATGTCAATTATTAAGTTATGTCCGGCCATGGAAGGGATAGGGGGGTTACGAATTTCTTCTGTACACATAAATTGGGATGGAATGTACGAATCCCTATAGCTTCTGCTATATGAAGTAGACGGGAGCGAACTCCGTTGGGAAACGATGGAGGTATACGATAGATCACTTGAAATGATTTCGATTTATCGACAATATGACCACTATCAATTAGATGTGCCAAGATAGAACTGAGTATTGTTTTATTTGGCCCTTTCCAAACCATGCTGGTAGATGTTCACTCATTCGTTGGTTAAGTTGCCTAGTAGTGCGCCCGATATATAGAAAAAGACCCTCTGCCTGCCAATATACTTACTTCTATATCTTTACACCTATCCAATATAAGAGAAACTTGGTTAAATGCTTCACTAGTAGAGCAAATAAGATCTGTTCTGTTGATACTTTAAGTCAGGAACTGGAATTTATCTATAACTCACTGACTGAGATCGGCTACCCTGCTGCGTTCATCAAAAAGTACATGTATGATACAAGGAAGATATCGGAGATTTTAACTGTTCGCAAGAAGCCTCTATACATGAAATTACCATTCAACGGGGTTGTAGCTAGTGAAACTCTGAAAGATAGGTTAACAAAAGTAATTAGTAGAACTTTCTACGCAGCCTATCTTGCATTGACTTTCTCGAGTCAACCAGTGATGTCTACTAAAACGAAGGATAAGTTACCTGAGTTGGCCTCCTCCATGTGCATTTATAAGTTCAGCTGCTCCTGTGGAGATAGCTATATCGGGCGAATGAGTGAACATCTACCAGCATGGTTTGGAAAGGGCCAAATAAAACAATACTCAGTTCTATCTTGGCACATCTAATTGATAGTGGTCATATTGTCGATAAATCGAAATCATTTCAAGTGATCTATCGTATACCTCCATCGTTTCCCAACGGAGTTCGCTCCCGTCTACTTCATATAGCAGAAGCTATAGGGATTCGTACATTCCATCCCAATTTATGTGTACAGAAGAAATTCGTAACCCCCCTATCCCTTCCATGGCCGGACATAACTTAATAATTGACATTATTATTATTTGCAAAATTTTTTTATTTTGGTTATCATTTTTTGTTTGTTTGTAATTTTCTACCTCTTTCCGTTTGTATTCTTCACTATCTATTTACTTACATACTTCTTATTACGTAATGATATTAATGTTTTGTGATTACTATTCCAGACTATTTACCCACGTTTGACCTCTTAATTCTTATGTTTAATTATTGATAAGACTTTTGTTATCGTAATTTACTATTCTTACTACTATCAGTACACCTATCTTCCCACCATCAACTTGTACTTTTTAACTATTATTATGCTTGATAACGTATTTCTATTTCATTGTGATTATTATTGACTCAAATAGCCTTGATTGGTCTAACATTTTCATATAAATATTCATGTATATTAGAGTAAAGCCTGATGACGATCTAATTGAAAACAATTGTTCGCTTACATATGTTGTTCTAATTTTCACAATGGGAATCCTTAATATTCTAAAATCCCAAGGACACGACACACAAGCCGAGACCAAAATTGTCATGTGTAACCGGCAATTTTTGCTCAACATATCACGACTACAGGACTACTTATTCTCGAAAGAGCAACGATTAGCTCTGGAAAAGCTAGGGCTGACCCAAAACGAATGCGATCACATGATAGGGTTAAGGATCGTTCGGCCATCTAACAGCCTATGGGCATTTCCCTGTAATGGGAAGTAATGATTGGCGTATGACTGATGACTACCGGGGTCTAAATGCGAAAACCATTCCTGATTGTTTTCCATAGCCTTACGCTCACGATTAGAAAGGTACCTTGAAAGGTGCCTTTTTTGAAAATGAACTTCATTAAAGCACACAACCAGATTCACACGGCTGCTGACATTATTCCTAAAACCTCTGTCATACCCCCCTTCAAACTACGAAATTCTGCGCGTCTTCCGGTTTCGGAGATTCCGAGCAAAATTTGCAGAGATTCATTGACGATGTCTTTGAAGAGTCACAACTTCGTACACGCATATGCAGATGACTGCTTGATGACAAGTCCGGATACAGAATCTCATTTTCAGCATCTGGATCTTGTTTTCAAGTGACTCCAAAAACCCATAAACACTGTAAATATTCAGAAATATCAAATGGGAACCGACGCCCTAGATGGTTTTAAGCTTGGGAAACTGAGGATTTTCCGCATCTTCCAGAGGACTTGCCATATTCATTGTCGCATCAAAACCAATCAGGTTTATTTTTCCCCGTGCTTCAGGAGATTTTGGTCGTGGCGAGATTGTCCAAATAGATCGAGAGCGTCCACGATTACGATGAATAGCGGGATAACGAATCAGAGTGTAACGGTGTTATAACCTGGGAACGCTAATTGTCATGACTTGTGACCTGTCTGGATGCCATGTTAATGTGTAACGTGATAATACCGCCAATCAGAGAGCAGTGATATATCGATCAGACCAATGACGCAGGAAACCCGTACGTTAAGGCCTTAAACTAGATCGAGACAAGTTATCTTCTGTATAATATTGAACAGATATATAGGTATCATTACCAAGTTTTTACTTGATAATTTTGAATAAATTGAGCATAGGGTAGATTGTTATAAATAAATTGATATATTTGCTATATCCCAATGAGTAGAAAAATTAGATTTTCTGACGTTTCGTGACTCAGTGTAAGCCACTTTTTCAGAGAATAAATAACCAAATTCACATTAATCCCAGTTTAAATAGTGCAACGGAACAACACGAATATAAGGTGATCAATCAGAAAACAGATCTGAATAAATTCAGACCAGAAAAATCTGGTAATTTATTCTCTGGAGAAGTTCCTTACACTGAGTCATGAAACGTCAGAAAATCTAATTTTTCAACTCATTGGGATATTACAAATATATTAATTTATTTATTGAACAGATAATTTGCAAAAAGGATGGAGCCAATGTTCGGGAAATAGCGAGTTGTAATAAACCTAGGAACTTGGGGTTTGTTTATATGCCTAATAAAAACAAATGGTTTGCATAAATGTTAAATGATCTACAGTAACGATAATAAAAATGGTCTAAGTTTCTGAAGTTCCTTTCAGTTTTTCAGATAAATAAGGCAAAGATTTCGCTTAGTGATGATATTACGGTGGTAGTATGATAAGTTGGTCATCAGCTGGTGTTCATTTAAATCTGAGAGCTGTTGTGACTTGACCAAGGTCGTCGCCAATTTGTTACGACTTTACAGAATAAACTAAGGACGTATCCTAATTCGTTATTGGTTTTCATGTCCGGCTTTTATTCACGTGAATTATCTACCAATGGAAATACGAATTCTTCGACCTTAACACTGTGACAATCAATGACGTCCGATCAGTATGAGTAATCTAGTGTTTTTATTGGTCATTTATCCGTCTAGCCCTTCCACTTGAGTTCAGAACACCAATGACAGCTTCTGTTATGCGAATCGTTTATTTTAAGCACACTTTGTTTATATACCAGACAGACAGACCACATCACACCATAAAATAGTAAATAATATTTGCACACGATCAGGCCAAATGTGGCTGTGAACGTGGGAGACAGTAATCAATAAGGTGAGTATGATTTAGGAACAGTGAATCGTATAATAATAATCAGTAAGTCAAAATGAAGCTTATGATAAGATGAATATAGATATACATAATCTAGTTACTGAATAGTTATACAATAAGAATATAAATAGAATATTAGTTCAGTAATAGGTCCTGGGAGCTATCCGTATTTATGTCTTCGCTAGGATATTACAAGTGCCAGTCAATGTCGTTGACAGTTTTAGTTTTGTAAGTGTCCAATTCTGGTAGTAAATATATTTAGTAGGGTAACTGGAAGTTCGGAAGTATTACCGTGAAGAAATGAATTTTTTATTTCGTCATGCATAAACATTGTAACTAAGCAATCAGAGGACAATAAATTATTGATTGTTACTACATTGCACAAAGGTCGTAGAAGGAAAATTGGAATTGTGAGTGGTATGCCGAAATTGTCTACACAGAATGATAAACGATGTGTGTTGCATATTAGTTTGGTAACTAAGCTGATGAATATCAAACAGAAAACAAGAAAGCAAAGAGTGTCACCCACGACACAAGTCCGCATTATTAGTGTTAAACGCTATTGGTGTTAAAGTGAATGCAGCAACACCGTTTGCAGGTGATCCACTTGAAAGCGTAAACCAATAATTCGCGAGAATGAGCGCGTCAACGCCGATTGGGCTGGAAAGGTATACAATAGTTGAGAAATAGGGAAAAGTGATTTCTGATCCATACATTACTGTTTTAGATCCCTGATGCTCAATGTCAAGCTCGAACTTTGTTTTGATCCATCAAACCTTTCGGTCAATTCGTTCTTATTCTGGCGGTGATTTCGGAGGAGTGAATAATGTAGTATTTTAGAAAAACCGGTAAGTTCTTATCTTATTTGTCTTTAATGTGTGTAATCTTCTAAACAAAAGTAGCAAGCTTAAATGGGTTTTTAAGGACAGCGATTAATAAGCACATATGGGGCAAAAATGTTTTCGGCTGAAAGATTTGTTGGCGGAACATACCGTCAAGAATTTAAATTAAGTTTGAATTAGGGAATCCATAAACTTGGCCTCATCAGAATTGTTGACTTGTACTATTTAGACATTCGCAATCTCCTTATTTTTAAGAAACTTTGGGGAAATCCGGGGTTTCCCCCAAAGTCGTTATAAGTTTTGTAGTTTTTTTTTCTGAGAAAAACTCCGAAGTTTATAAAATCCCGCGATAAATTTGGGGAAATACACAAAATGTTTTCAGATCTGTGCCATTTCTCCAAAGTTTTCTGTCGCAGCTTCCCTAAAATTTACCCAAAACGAACAAAATTTACTCCCAAACAGGGAGATTGGGTCTGTATCGTCATAGCACAGTGAAACAGAACGAAGTATGCTTAGTTCATAATATCTACTTTCAGTATTAAAGAATGTTTGGCACAGGAATTCGTACACAGAACTGCGAATAAGTTCTCCATATCATTTTATCGATGTGGACAACTTTAGTTGCATTTTATTTCACTTGGTAATTAATCACCGGAACAGCTTGAATTGGCAACAATGTAGTCATTTTTGAATATATTGACACATCCGCTCAAACAATATTTCAGTTAATCGTTTTGAATGATGTGGTAGTAGTCAATATTTTTAGTAGTCATGTATAAAGATGGAGACAGTAGCTTAATATACTAGGTGACATGGCTCAAAACTGTTTAAAAGGGTAGTGAGATATTCTTCTTTTGTAACTTAAATTTCAATTTTGAATATTACTACTTGACTTCTTTCAGCTTTATCATATTATGTTATTTGTATATTGCTCAATAACTTTGGTTCTGCTATTTTGACTTCTATACTTTCCCCACAAATTTTAATGGTGGTCTGATGACTCGTAAACTTATTATTTATTTGAGACCTCCTGCTGATGTCAGCGTCCCCTTAAAGGCTGATTCGTACTTCATAAATGTTGATCAGATGAATAGTTTTCAGTCTTATTTGAGCATTATATTCTGGTTACAAACTTCGAATCGCTTGCTTTAATTCCGTATAATTGCTCCATCCTTGTGGCGTATTCGCTTGTTGTGACTGACTTGCGTATGAACCATAGATTTATCGACCTCATTTAGCGAACCTTTTGTAGTTTGCGGGAAATCAATTCCTCAACAAGTTTTAACATCGGTAGATTATAAACGTCCCATATTCGAACGAACAGTTTTTGTTTAAGCAATCTCATCATTGTTTCTTTTGAGTATGATATGACAATTCTGCACTGAAAGACTATCTACTCCCCTCTCCTGATTCTTTAATTTCTCAGCAGTAATGAAATTGATTGTTGTTTCCAAGGTCTTGTCATTTTCTACTTGAGGTTTGGTGCATGCCACTCATGTTGACAGACAAGTAGTATATAACACCAGTCAGAAGTGGAATGCGTGTCAGCAGAAGGTTGGGGAGATCGAATCGAAGAGAACGGGAGCAGAGAGTAATTGTTATGGCAATGAAGGAATGATAAAGTCTGAGACATTTTATAGGGGATTTGCAAATGAAGTATTAAACGTATGGTTTTCACACTTTATCAAAAAACTGTAATTTCGTATCAAAATACAATTCGTTGTCCCCATCTGAGCTTCCGATCACTAAAGAGGATCAGAATAAGAGAGCTTTAAAATTGCAAGCACGTCTTCGCACTTCGATTCTATGTTTAATAATTTCTCAAGCATTTTACTATAACCCTCTTTATTGGTCAATAATGGAAAGCTGTCAATGAAACATCCTTAAATTTTTTAAACCCGGGATAGATGGTCCACAATCAGTGATGAGGAATCCACAATTTGTGGTTGAAAATTTATCGTCTCGAATCAGCAAATTAATTCACCTAAGTACAGGGATTTTATGACTATTGATACTCAAAACAGAGACTGATAAGTTTAATTTTAGAATTGGGATTCAAAAACTTCAACTTTCCAACTGAAATGATGGATTTGATACTTTCAGTTTCAACAATAAAATCGTAGAAGCACCACTGGACAAATATAACCGTTTCTGAATATGAAGTGAATTACTGGAAGTTGTAAATAGGAATATTATATGATTATTAGAGTCATTCAAACTAATCGGGTCTGAATTACAGAGTTTAGCATTAATGGCGGCAAAACAAACAACTGTTTTACAAACCAACTTACTGTGTCTATTTTTGTCACACTGAAAATATTTCGCATGACGAAACAGAAATACTGAAAAATAATTCAGTGACAGGAAGACGTATAAAAAGACACATTAGTAATGACTCTCTGGTGTACTTTGAGGTGACTAGTGCTTTTACTCTTCAAAAACTGAAACTTTCCCAACGCTCTTCATAACAATGGGTTGGATTAATGTTTTCTGTAGGAACCGTCGAATGATTACTCCGAGAAGTCCTTTTTTAAATCTTGGACGCATTTATCGCCTGTTTCACTAAAAAAAGTTGTAAAGGTGACGTTTCCAGATCTCCGTTCTGGAGACAAAATCGGTTTAGTTAAGCCAAAATACTTATGACTGTTTCATGCAACATCAAACTACTGCTTTACTTTGGTGACCATGTTTAATAGTGAAAACTAATAAGTATTATCACGGCGTATAGATTTGTTATCAGACGACTTAATTTCTTAACTTGGAACTCTTCTATTAATAACACGATAGTTAATCCGATGGTTCTACTATGTGGGAAAAAAGCTTAGAAGACGTCGATATTAAAAACATAGAACCTTCATAAACCTTTCTCTCTTAATGATCACAGTTCATGTTTGTAAGGTAGCACAGAGATGACTTGTGTTTGTATATAGTATGAGTAAAGACCTAATCTTACTATGGTTAAAGTTGCTCAGCTCGTTAAACGTTTATTTTACACGCGTTCCTTCGTAATATTTTGATGACGATATTCGTCTATTTATCTCTGTGGTATAAGTATTTAGTCTCCGAGATACATTTATTGATAGAGGGAGATGAGAGATCCGTGAGTACTTGACAGATGTCTCCAAAAATATTTATATCATACATGTGAACCACTAAATGATCACAATTAATAAGGTTGTCAGGCTCTTAGTAAGGACAAAGTAACTGGTCTAGCTGTGAATATGTCTTGCTTGACATGGTAGAAGCACATGGTGGGGATACTCAGTCACTCCCAATGTCTGTTTTCGCCCGAAATAAGCACTGAATCAATCCGACTAAGAAGTCTAAGCAATCCATATATTGAGTAGTAGATCATCGTTATAGAGTTTTACAATAATATTCAAGCCTTTATTTTATGGGTCAATGACCTATAAAACTCCTATCCTGTATCATTGAATGGTTTAATGAAGTCTTATACTTAGTTTTATATTTCATATTTCGTAAATGTGCTTGTTATTTTACTAGATAAAAATCTGTCCCAGTGCCGAGTCCTCTCGTTGTTTAATAGCAGTTAATTCAGATGCTTGGGTCAATAGCCTCATCGGTGTGCTATAAGGAATGACGTCTTAACTACCAATACTACTGGTTGTATCTCACATATGTGAGATCTAAGTATTCTACCCATGATTGTCTGGTTTGATCACAACTTTCTTTAACAACCACCCTTTGTTTCAATGAGCATGAAGTTTAAAGTTAGTCTGATGTGGTGCCACAAAACTGTCGGCATCAAACAGAAGAAATTATGGACTTCAGATTGCTCTAAGGATCCATCTGTTTGTAATCCATGTTCGGTAGCACAGTTATTAAGTCGCGTTTTTTCTTTTTCCAAACATAATTATGTGAATTTAAAATCTTAAAATTAACTTTTGCATTTGAAAATTGTTCCAGACACATGGATGTTGGCTCTAAGTGGCCTTGTGCCGTATGTACGTATGACAATTGGCCAGCAGCATTTAAGTGTACTTTGTGTGGTACACCAAGAAGCTCAACCCTTATCGAAGATGAAATGCAACTTTTACATTTGTCGTCTAAAGATTCTGGAAAAATTAACGAGTCTTGTGCCGAGGCTGTTTTCGATTCTACGCAACTGATAAAGTGCCAGTCATGTACTTATCTTAATCAACGACAAAACTTTAAGTGTGAACAGTGTTTCCAGGTTCTCTGTGATTCACCAGTTTTAGATGTTGAAGTTTCCAAACAAGCTTCTTCAACATGGTTATCTTCTCCTACTACAACATCTTTATCACCATCCGGTAAATGGACATGTATTGAATGTACATATGAAAACTGGCCTAAAAGTAAGCACTGTGTAATGTGCTTCTCATCTCCACCACAACCAATATGTGTAGTTGATTGTGAAGATACTGAGAGCAAAAATAGTAATTCAACATGTGTTTCATCTAATTCATCCAGTTTAAATTGTAATCGGCGCCCAAAATCAAATATTTCAAATAATACACCATTAACTTCTCGTGATCGTTTATGGCTGTCAGCATGTGTTGCTGTGGTAAACGGTGATGTAGCACCAATTGAGCGTTACATACTTGGTAATGGTAGAATAGAACGAAAACTAACAAAACATGTGAGTGTTTTATGCGTGAAGAATTTTCGTTTACACGTATTCCTTAAAATTTTATAAGCAAAATAAATTTCACTTTTGTAGGTACTGGTCTTGATCTGGATTCAGTCTCTGTTACGAAGGTTTTTGATTATATAAAATGTTTTCGTTTTTTATTATGTTTTTCAGTATTTTATAGTGTTTTCATGTTGTTTGGGTTGTTAAGCAGAAATGTACGAAGTAATGTTCTCCACAATACTCAGCACTTTAGAGCATCTTTTTATATAAATACATTAGTAAAATTGTTTGGAATTTGTACTGAATTAAACATCCCAATAATTATCTGTTCTCAACAATCATACTCCAAAAATTTGTTGGAGTCACTTATTCGAAAGCTATGAACCTACGTTATTTCCTATCAACCAGGCATACATGCAACTCCATGGAATTTCATTCTTTTGAAGAGGTTCGTACGTCATGTAGCGACAAAGTCACAGACTCTAAGCTATTCGAGCTATGGTTTTTGTTGTATGTATAAACTATTCAGTCATAATTACTATCTTAAAATTTCAAATGAAATAAATTAAAAGTCCAAAGACCTCAAGTTTTTGTTTTCCTAACTTATTCCACCCAGACTATTATTTATGATATGAATTAGTTACATAATAAATCCATACTGCGCACTTATCTAATTGGGTGAGATGTACAATTGTGTCATGTTGACCTCGTTAGCTTTCTACTATAGAAGTGTGGTTTTTAAAATTTACATAATGCTGTGAGGGCAGGTGAATTCCTATATGTATGTACGAATATAAAGCATTTCTGTGTTATTTTTCCTAAGAGAAGAATAAAATACGTAATCGAAAAACAGAAAGTTTTTGATGACTGATATTTCTTGCTAATATCGCAGAAAAAATCATTGTTTTTGAGTCGAATATCATATAATGTATTGCGATGTCAATCATCAATATTTTCATACCACTTTAAATGTGATAACTTAAATCAAGTGTTTAGGATGGATAATCGTTGTATTTTCCAGTTCATAATTTCCGAATTCCATCAATTTACTTAAGTTAGGTGTTTAAATCCACGTAATTGTAGTTGCTTAACCGTATAATCTGGGAGCAATGTTTTTAAAACACCTGTAATCAGATGCTTGGAACTTACATATATCCCTGACTTTCCAAGGGTATATTTGTAGTGATCCTAAGTGAACTGCTACACGCTACCTAGTCCATGTTGCTACCATACACAGGTGTTAAAAATGAGCTTGCAATAGAGTACTCTACTTTAACACACTTTTGGGTAATACTTATCTCCATGAAACCTCTCAACCTACAGAGTAGAATGCGATTTTCCATTTAAGTGACAGATATACACATCGTTTCTAAGACATACATTACCAACCTTTTTGGCTTGTGTTTAACAAGTTATTGGTTTATTGGTGCAGATATTTCAGTGTTTTTTTTTAAACATGGTCCTCAGGATTCTCGTTACATTCATTATTTTTACTTGAAAATTTCTAATAGGAGTGCCGCTATTTGAATTCGTATATGCAATCAACTACCACTTGTGATATATCGACAACTTTTTCATATATTGATCATTATCCAAAACGATTTGATGATACAAATTTGAGTCAGCTACCCGGCAGCAGCTGCTATTCTCATAAAACAACTATTCCGAGTTGCGATAGTGGAATTGTTTACAGTAATCTGGACTACACATTGTCTCCTGGATATAAATTTCGATCTGGCTGGACATTGGTGGATCTAGCACTTCGATTCTGTCGTACGGATTTAATCAACTTATTTATTGCTTTAATTGGCCTACAAGCTACTAGTAGCGCTATATCTGTTGGTTCTGGATCGAAGCATTCCACACTACCTATGAATTCGTCGAGTACCGCCTCGGTCATTACTTCATCGAATAGTACTACCATTGCAACGAACGTCTCAATGTCCGTTACAACTTCAAATACTTTTTCTCTTTCAAGCAATAATCTTCGTAACTCCACATTGAATCCTTCATTTCAAGATACTCAGCAAACTCACAGTAGAAACATTCAAGTAAATCGTAAATTAAGCAGTCCACTGACAGGAAATCAAATACATCCCTCACTTCAATTAATTTTGAATCGAACACCAGGTAATATAAATAAGACTCAAGTCACTAGAAGTAAGTGGATGCCGTGTCAAGCTAGCCCTCATATTGCTGGCGAATTACGAGATCTATTAGCAAAAACGGTAAAACACTGTAAAGGAGACTTTCCATGCGCTTATTTTTCTGAATGGGGAACTTTTGCTTTGCCTTATTCAATTACAAAATTCCCTTCTCCAGTAAAACAATTGCTCTTGTCGGAATTATGCGATATGCAAGCTCAATCAGGTTCGTGATCTTTTTAATGTCAAAACTGTATGAATTTTTATAATTTAGAACATCTATTTTTCTATTTGTCAGTTTCGGATCGACTGTTTAACTACTGATTCAAAAGCGATATAATAAAAGTCATTTTCTAACTTCGAGAAGTTTATCGTGCTTATCAAGGAATATTCATATTCACTATCACTTTGATTAACTCCAAAAATGATTCGATTTTCCAATCACTGGATTCTTACCTACTGGATCAGTAGTAACATATCTTTGGGTCTCTCTAAACCCCTAAATGTTTCGGTTTTTTCACTCGACAGGATAAAAGCTTCGCTGTGTCGAGAAATTACAAAATATGTCTAACACAAAATTGTATCGGTTAATTTTTACTGATTTTGCTCAGTATTCTATTGTGGATTTTTTATTTCTATCTGTGAATCAATCTCACTTCATATTGATTATATCTAAAAAAAAGAAACTGCAGATCTTTAACGCGAATATAACTGTATGACAGTTTTAAATGTGCGTCATTTTAATAGATGTACATTACACACCGTTTGTGTGTATGTGTATTTATTTACTGATTTCCTTGTGGAAAGAAAACAAAATGTGATTGCATACACAATCTTTTATGTAATACACGGGTTCTTTAATATTTTGATTATATGGAAAACTTCACTTATCATGTGATAATCTTAATAAAGGTACACTAATACATACATTATGTGTAAAAAAAACAATTAACTTTCAATAGAATTGTGAATGAGAACTCTGATTATAAACTTTTACAACGAAATATGAAAGAATAATTCAACTTAAAAATAATAATATTCAACTGAATAACAATTATTCCCTTGGCAAGAAGAAAGCTATTTATTTATTTAAACACATAAGTATTGGTACAAAAAGGCACCAGATATATATGCGCCACACAAATCTCATTCGATTTGTGTGAGGGCTGTGATACTGCCCAGGTGCCCAAACCGAAGCAGGTGGTTTTCTTAGGGGGCCACACCCGGAGCATTTGACCTAAAGGTCTGATTCACAAGGCAGTGGAGCATCGTAAGGAGATGCAGTCTCATGGTAGCCGGTGACCAACGATTGATTCATACGCCATTTGTTTCATCAGGATACTGGAGCCCATGTGCACCATTGGTTTGGAATCAGGGTTTTCCAATTCCCCTAGGTGGACGCACCGTGTCCACCAACCCGGTTAAAGCGCCGAACATTTGCTTTCCGTCCTCTCAATTTCGTAAACAACACCCTCGCCACGAGAAGGCAATGAATAGGAATTCCCTGTCAGAGGCTATATACGCGTGGCCATGTTAGAGCATTTGGAGAGGGAGAGCGGACTCTCCCCACTCTCGGTCGTACCAGGGCATTTGGGGGCAAAATGATTAAAAGAAATGATTAAACAACATAGTAATCGCAGTAACAAATTGGAGATTGCTTTCGTTATTTCCCCAATTACTAAAACTTACAAAAGATATATTCTGATTTATTCAATTTTATGGTAGCCTGATACCATTTCAAAATATCACTTATCAACAATAGTGAAGTATCATCTCAGTGAGCCAGAATGTAGAGCCCGAATTTTATAGATAATTATTGTCAAATGTGATATGACTAGCAGCATCTTATGTTGAGAAATCACTAAGATTTGCATAACCATGAACTTCGCTTTCGAATAGATTGTCGCGATAAATCATAGAAGCTGGTTCAAATTGTCCAAGTCTCTGACAGTATTATTTACAAGACACTTCACATAATTCACATTTACCAAGCAATTAAATAATTTCTTAGCGTAATTACTAGTAATATGATGTTCCAGGTGTGATGGCAAATCCTATATTTTAACAAAGATACTCATATTCATAGGAATATAGATTCTGTTATCCTATGGATCTTTAATCATTTCATTTTAATTATTCGGATACATAGAAATCAGTTCACTCATTTTGTTAATATCACAAGATAAACCGAGCCTTGGGGAATGATTCATTGTTTGTCTTATCATTCTTATACCAAATTACAAGAATGTTCAAGCTATGTAAAAATAAGTGGCGAATACGTATTTGTAACTTTTCCTTGTTGATGTGCTTTTGTTTACTTCCATTTTCAAACAAGCTACTCAGAAGTTTACGGTTCTTTTTTCTTCTCCTAGTGATGCTCAAAAAAGTATGATGGAATGTAATTTAAGTGTTTTGATTGTCTGAATGAATACCGTTTTATTGCGAAGACATTCAGCATTAACACAGTTCGACAAATTCTGTTACTGACTTTTTTTACTCTCGATGTTAACTGTAGAGTTGGAAGATGAGGCTAAAGCAATCAATTGGTGGTTTATCCCTGGACAAAAGCAATCGAGTCGTCTATTTGCCTTGTGGAATCGAACAGCAGGTGATTGTCTGCTAGATAGCGTCTTACAGGTTAGTGCTTGGTGAAATAATTACTCTTCTGTTAAAAGAAGGACTATGCAAAGTAGCCTAATGCTCCATACATTTGTGTATGAAATTATACTAAACGGTTGTTGTATTGTAATATAGAGAAGTAACATTTTCAATTTGCTTACCAAAATAAATAGTAAGCAATGGCGAATTTTTCGTATAAAAATTATGTCAATGAATTTTACATTTGATTTTTTGTCATTTATCATCTATTAAAGGTAACAGAAGGTGTCAATATCTTCAACTACTCTTTTTCAAACGAAACCTCTCCTTTGAAATATATAAGATTTTCAATGATTTAGAGTTTTTGGATAATCAGGTTTACTAGTTTAAATCGCGATCTAATCTTCGCTGAATCAACGTTAAAAACCTGGAAGTACTCGACGGCCGTTTTGTCCTAGTATGTGACTCCTAAGTGGTGAATATCCACGCCCCCACATCCAAGAATGGAACCCAAGACCTTCAGTCTTGTGCGTGAGTGCTTAACTTCTAGACTACTGAGCCAGCACTCAATGGCGTGATCGTCTAACCCAAATGAATCCACGTTATTACGCAACCGTCATCCATGTTTCTTTTAATTTTCTACCAAGATTACAAACGATAGGTTAGGAAAACACTGATATTTTCTCAGGAATTCTGCACATACCTTAGAATCATCTAACAGCGTGCTAAATCTCCAATGCTCATGGAATGATTAATTTCAATTTTGTACAAAATACCTGATCTCGAATTGTAGATTTTTATTACTCTTCTGGATACATGATAATGAGAGAATATAACATTGGGATACAATATATGAAATATTCTTTAACTGACATTGCGTTTGCTCTTAAAAGTCTTTATGTCATGTTGTTTTTAATGCAGTTCCAGTTATTCTAAGTACTTTCTAGTAAACAAAGTGACTAAATTGTGAATGGATATCTCTTCCGTTTTAGGCTTGTTGGGGAGTATTTGACAGAGAAAATTGTTTACGTCGCACACTTGCTGAAAGTCTTCAAAATTGTGAGGCAAATTTTTATCCACGCTGGCGCGACTATGAAGCATTACAAGCTGCATGTCATTATATCTTAGATGAAGATCAATGCCAAAGGGATTGGGAAAATGTACTTACAGCGGCATGTCAACCACGTAAGGCTACTAAAAGAATTATTTCATAGAGATTGGATTGTTCTACGCTTTTTTATTTTTTGAGAGCTCAGTCAAGATTCATAACGGAATTACGTAGTAACATTCATGTGTCATATCCTTTCATTAGTTACTGAAATGGTGCACTTTTACTGGTTGTTAAACTTTGTCTGCTTATCCATCACGATACAATAGAACAAGTTATATGTTCTTTTCTATCTGAAGTCTTGTTTTATGTATGCTGAAGTTTGTTTAACTTTAATATATTCTGCATCTCTAATACTATCCCCTTTAGTTACACTAACATATTTTGCAATCGATCGGTGTAGCATGGGAATTTCCATTTCTCAAATTTTCAGTTAAAATATTAATAAGTCAGATGACCGGTTACAACTACTTTTTATCATTATGATTTCTAACATGTGATTCAGTCAGCCAGTCAGCTACAACATAAGACCAGGCGCATATATACATCGTTCCAAGTTGCTATATCTCACTAGCACAAAAAGATGAACACCAAATTCATAGAAGTAGTTAATTTAATGGTGGTAATATATAAAAGAAAGATTGTATAAAAGGATATGGTACAGGAAGAAAGAAAGATATGAAGCAATTTTAATTTCATAGTTTAAGGGAAGACAGAGAGTGTATACACCTACGACATTGTGATCGATTCTGAGCCATATCACACAGAGTCTCCAACCATTGGTTACGATAGTCACGCGGACCCCAACCAAATAGTCTTCATCTACCAATATGGCTCAGACTAGAAGTTAGTGACTTCATGCACTGATGCCATGTTTTGCTTTCGCCGCCCTTAACTCTCTTTCAAACATCCCCAATACTAGTCAGCATAGCGCGTCGTGGTAATCGGTGTTCAGGTATACGTAACACATGGCCCAACCATCTCAGTTGATAAAGATTCACAACCTCATCAACTGACTTTCTATTATTCCCTAATACCCTGTGTCTAACCTCAGTATTACTTACGTGGTGATCCCAGCAGATGCGAGCAATATTTCTAAGGCATATATGGTTAAATGCTGTTCACTTACAAGTACGTTCTACTCCTAATGACCACGTTTCGCAGCCGTAAAGTAGGACAGGAAGAAATGCTGTGCAGTATATTCATCCCTTAATTGACAGATGGATATCTCGCCTTCACCATAGGTTACGTAAGTTGGCAAAAGCCAAACGAGCTTTTTTAATCCGTGTTGAGATTTGTCAGACACCAACCCATTAGGGCTGGTCAGACTTCCAAGATAAGTGAAGTTCTCGACGCGTTCGACTACTTCACCCCCTATCTCTAGTTCAGTTGTTGACACAGTTCAATCCTGAAGCAGCAATTTGCGTTTAGAGGGGGAGAGACGCATTCCAAATATCCTGGGATTGTTACTCAGTTCCAACAGAAGACTCTGCATTTTGTCAGTGTCTTCACCAAACAGGACTATGTCATCTGCGTATTCTAAGTCGATAAGTGAACCTTCTGGTAGGAAATCAATTCCTGAAAATTCAGTCGATGAGAGCGTTATTTCCAACAGTAGATCCATGATGAAGTTAAACAAAAGTGGAGATAGTGGACAGCCTTGTCGGACACCACTTGAGATTGTAAAGTCAGATGATAGCTTGCTAGTGTCTGAAGGCCTTCTAAACTGTTCTTTAAAGTGTTCCACCCATCGTTCTAAATGTCTGGGCTGAGAGCAGATAAGAATTTCGTCTTTTCCCGAGATTGTCTCGCTTACACTTGACTTCTTTATTCTGGTTTCTCTTATTAGTCTGGAAAGTTGTCTGGTGTTGCCTACAGCTGCTGCCTTTTCCATTTCTTTTGCTTTTTTTGCCCACCACTGCTCACGATCGTTCTGTAGACTTTTGGTTAACCTAGATCTGATTTGCTTTCGCTCTTCATCGTGTTTAGAGCCTGATGGGATGAGTTTACGAGAGTCCATCAGTGCAATAGACTTAGAAGAAATCCATTGGTTTTTTGTAACAAGATAAATTACTTAACTAAGATATTTTCAACAAAACTAAGTAAATCATTTGCGTATGACAATAATTAATAAGTCAAAACATAACAATACGTAATAAAAATTTCATAAAACATTTGTTTGTTAAATACTGCCTAAAATATACAAACTAATTTACCTATAAATAATCATGTAATGCATTATTTTCCTTCTTTTTTCAACAACTTTGTAAATTTGATTACCACTAAGGTTTCAAGAATGTACACATTTCAAAGATTTACCGCATAAATAGTACTGGAAATCATCATTACGTACTTGATTGAAATAGTGATCGATATTTAGTGAGGGTGTAGTGAACAAGAAAACAAGTGGGCCAATGGAATGTATTTAAATATAAAATTACAGAACATCTTAGTAAAATCTGAGAACCATGTAGTAAATACTTAATTTGCAAAACGTCAATCAATTGTCTCAAACTTGACTGTTCCTTTCGCAAATGTCAGTCAATCGTCTCAAACTTCATTTTTCCTTCGTTTCCATACCAATCTTTTTTTTCTCGTTCTCTTTTCTTTGATCTTAACCTTCTGCCTCCAGGCATTTCACTTTCGACTGATGATACATACTACTTATATCTGTTGACATCAGTAGCACACACCACATAGGGAGTCACCTGGCATCATAAAGTTTAACTCCCCAATTCTGCCTTGTATGTCATCTGTTTAACTATCAACGCTAGCATTCGAATCTGTTGGTGCATTCCGAATCCCTGAATGAATTCCAAAAGATTCTATTTCTAACTAACTCTCTCATTTTATTGATCATGTTTGAAGCCCGTAACAGTTGTGATTTAATTTCATCCAGTCCTTTAACGGATGCGATACTTTAAATTGTAAAATAAAGAAAGTAACAAAAACTTTCTAAAGCTTATTTCCTTCGATCTACTGGCTTTCTGTATAATCAACCTATATAGTCTGTATATTACCAACAGAAATAAGTAATCCAAGACTTTTTATTTTATCGACTGGGTGGGGTTGGGGACTCCAATTCATCTAATAGTTTGTACGGAAAAATCTGCTCAAGTAAATGAACTCTACTTACGGAACTTTCTTATGATTTATCCAGAAAATAATTAACTATTTAGGTTATAGGTGATGGTACAGTTATAATCATCGTGTATGATTTTGTTGCTACTCCTTATGTTTACTATTATTATTACCCTACCTCTTGATTAAGATGGTTTTGTTCTAGAGGAAAAAATCTCTTCAACATGCATATCTCTGGATGATTTCTTTCAAAGTTGAAAATAGTCAAATATATTTATTGTCCCTAGTTGAAAATGCTTCCTTCATCTCATTTATTGTGAGAGAATTTTTCAAGGAATCACATAATGAATAAGTGGTATTTTAATTTAATTTAGAAATTCATCAGCAGTAGTAAACAAGAGACATGGAATAAACATTTTTCAAATGGTTGACCATTTATAATTGTATGAATTCCATACATTTCAATCCTCAAGTTTAAATTTAGTGAAAATTAGTGCAATTCATCATTGACTAGCTTATTTTATTGACTTCAATTTGAATTATGCAAGTAAATGTTTTCCTAGAAACTGGCAAACACACTTTTAAAACAAAATTTCCGTGTAAATACACATAAAGTTAATGTCAGTCTAAATAATGTTTTGCGTATTTATTAGTGATTGTCGATTATAAATTTCACTAATTACTCTTCGTTTAGGTGAAGCTTTAGAACAAATCCATATATTTGCTTTAAGTCATGTCCTTCGCCGACCAATTATTGTCTATGGTGTAAAGTACATAAAAAATTATCGCGGTGAACCAATAGGGATAGCTAATTTTCAAGGTTAGTTTATTATCCTGCCTGTATCTAATGTATAAGTGCTAATTTTTATTCGATCAGTTCTTCAGTCATCACTATGTCCTTCAAATATATTTTTAACCATCATCACTATACATATACTGTCATGTGATATTGATGTACTATCAAGGATTTTTTTCTAAGTCCAATGGTTTACTATACTATCTGACATTTAAATTGTTAATATCACTGCTTCTAAGTGATTTCTTCTTAAGTACTGAATAATAGTAACTAACAATGGAATAAAAGGGGGTATATTTTAACCTCATTATCTAAATATTATTTTCCATCTTGTTAGTTTTAGGTTTTGTTCGCACTCCTTAAAATACCCTCATTCATCTATTATGGTAGTTGCCTCATGTGTTACTATTTGTTAAAAAGACAAAGTTTGTGATAGTTTGAAAGTAAACATTTGCACTCGACGGTATACGGGTATATTCTTTTCTCCCAATTTTGAATGGGTAAAAGCAGACTACCGTTTTCATTATTAGGCATTCCAAAACCATAGTCAATAATGGACATATTTACACCCATAAGCAAAGATGGATAGTGGCTAGAAGTGGAACCCAGGACGCTCGTTTCGTCCCATTTGGGATTCGTCAGTTGGATGTATCTGCATCCCATAGTTGGTGTTCACTCTGGGATAGCGCGATCCAAGTGTGTACATCAACTCTGGGATGCAGGTACATCCAGCTGACGAGTCCCAAATAGAACGAAACGCGCGTCCTGGATCCCACTGCTAGCCATCACCCATCTTTGCTCATAATGCTTGTGACTTAAGGCAAAATCGGGGCAATCTTCACAGAATGCATATATGCCAATAACAGACTAATCAATCGCAGTTATGAACATTAGTGGAAAGATTCAAACAAACAATACAAAAATATTTGCACTTACATTGATCTCCTAATGAGCTAGAGAACTGTTCAATGCAGGTAGAAGAGATTAGTCGCGTTAACTTAAATTTAACCACCCGGATATGTAAAGAAAATTTATCGGAGCCTTAGAACATTTTCTTTAGTGTAATGTGATAACGTTCCATTTGTTGTTGTAATGGGCAGGATTTAAAGAATAAAGCTTATTTATTTATTTAAACTGATCTATGACACGATGACTGATTAAAACGATTTAAATAGAAAAGTAAATTTATCTATTTTCTGTAACTAATTTAGTGGTTGTGTTGATTTGATCAATTCTTACGAAATAACTGAAAATTCAGTTGACTAGAATAGTTTAATTAAAATGAATATTCAAATGAATTGGTACAATGTAGAACCCAGCAACCTAAGTCGATTGGTTCAATTTGTCGTCATCATGCTATAAGAAAAACTCAATTGTAAGGCTCTTCATTTTATAATTCCAAATGAATGTTGTTTGAACTTTTTAAGACAATTATTGAATACATAGTATTTATGCAGATGATATTTATTGTAAATTAATATCTGGAAAGGAATTCAATAAGAGAAAGCATCGGAATGAAGTTGAAAATATCGAACATTTTATTCCGATGTGGTGGTCTAATGGTATTGTATCGGCCCAGTGGTGAAGAGCTGTATTTGTGCATTACTGGATTGAGTAGTAGTTGTATGCCAAAATAAAACAGTCGTCCAATAGTCCTCCGTGATTTTCATCATCTTTCATCAATGCATAGTTAAATCACTTTTAAACTATAAACTATATGTATGAAGCCTCCTGATTTAACGAGTCCTTAATGTTTGTTTCATCTGTTGTTAAAAATATTCATTTATAAACATGATTGCTGTATTTTCAAATTGTTTCTAGGTATTTATCTTCCACTTCTCTGGGAAAAATGCTCTTGTTCTCGGAATCCCATTGTTTTGGGCTTTACGCGAGGTCATTTTACTGCACTTGTACCCATTGAACCGTGTCCCTTATCCTCGAGTGGTGTATGCAGTGAATCAACTGCAGATACCAACCAAACAACTGGAGTTACCTTTTCACCGTATGCTTCTCCTCGTACATCTTCACGTAGACATAGTCCTACACCTCTGGATGAAACAAGTAATTATACTCAAGTGCCACTCACTACTGTTCCTCCATCGACATCTCTTTCAGAAACGCAACTAGTTTCTTCAACAGAGTCATCGTTAACCAGCTGTGGAACAACCTTACCTGGTGCAATATCTCAACAAAATGCTTTCGTATATCTTCCGCTCGTTGACAGACAAGGAGTTTTGTTACCAATACATTTTACTACAGAAAAAGAGGTAAAAAAAGTTCTTGATTCCACTCCGAAGAATAAGGATAACCATTGCGAAGCAATTATGTTGGGTTATTCTTAAACAACCATTTTTTCTTTACTTATAATCTCTTTGTAATAATGTATCAGTAAAAGTTGGATTTAACTGATTGATTGTATTGAACGTTAACTAACTATATATTTACACTAAGGATCTATGTAGCTGTATTAGATCTTATGATAGATACATATATTATTTGGGTTCAGTCGCACGTCACCTATCGTCCATTGTTTGGTTTCTCAGCTCTGTCTATAGCTCGTATAAAGTTAATACTGAGTTTTGTCTAAAGCATATCCAATGAAGTAAAGTTTATGAATTTGTTCATATTGACAGTCGACTTCAGCTAACAATTATGAAAGCTGAGTTAAGCAGAAAACTTATACAGAAAGCCTTGTATAGCTAGTGGGTCGAGTCGCTCGTATTTTTACCAGTCGTCATATCACCAGGTCAACATCTAAGTATTTACAACTTCTGCCTGTTGTAATGTAAACTAGTCTTAGTAAGGTGCTATTTGTTGTAACCCAACGCATCTATACTTTGGATACAATTGTAGATTTCAAAATACAGTCTGGATACCCTTTACTAAATGAGTATCCGTTAATTTTTAGGAATCGGTCTAGAAGTTCAGTAACACATAAATCCTATCATTATTCCATCCCAAAGAAAAGTCCTCATCAAAGTACACATCAACCAGCATAATTTTGAAACATAGAGCGAAATCACCATTACAGGAACAAAGTTCATTATTTCACATGGTCTATTTTGATGAAAATGACTGACCTATAAGTAAATCAGGGCAGCAAACGTTTTTACCTTTTTATACTTTGCCGTAAAATTTTTAACAGTCATGCGATGCAATGAGAATTGGCAAAGAAAGCAACTTTTCTGTATTTTCACCGTCATTGTCCAGGAACTACCAAATGCAGTTCTTGGCCGATTACATAAACTTGTATTTGGTAAATAACTTGCATTTTTAAAATGAGATTATTATTATTATTATTATTACAGGCTAAAATGTCTCATACACTTCTTCAAGAATGGTTAGATGTGGTATGTACAAGACGGGGGCTACCGCTTGCCCGATTGCGCTTACATTCAAAACACGTACTTGTTGATAACATGGTAGAAGAATGGCTAGATTCCTATCGTTCGTTAGCTAAATTATCTACTAATAGTAATCCTATTACATCAACTGCACCATCTAATATCAATAACATCAACACTACTATTTCTTCTATTACTGGCTCTACAAATATTCAGCATACTCATCTCGTCAGTGAACATTCATCATCATCGAATTCCATATCATCTGATACAGATCAAGTTGAGTATACATCAAAATCAACATCATCATCTTCAGATGCACTACGCAGCTCTAGTCCCTAATCTTATTATAAATCCATATGTTACTGATAATTTATTTGTTGTGGAGTTTATATACAAAGAAAATATCAACCAACTACTTACTTTTTAATATATTATGGCTGTGATATATTTTATTCCCTTGTTTTTCCTTCGTTAAGAAAAGGTTGTCCACTTCCTTACTATATTCCACTTCTTACAGTTCTTTCTAGATATTCTTTTTTAGTGGGCCCCTTTCTATTCCTAATGTGTATTTTTTTGTTCATTTATTGTTAGTATTCACCAGATATATTTACCCTTCAATTACTATAGACATAATAAACATGTTTGTAATAAAGAACATGAAATTATTTTAGTTTTTCTCTTCTTTTTAATCTCAATTTTCAATATATATATATATATATATATATATATGTATATTAAACAAAAACCGATTACGCACACATGTATAAGTAGAGTTTATGAATTACAAAAGATTTGATGAAATCATTCTTATATTTTCTGTATAATCTAAATATTCTCCATTCACTTATCAATTTTTTCTTTTGTGTATGTGTGTGTATATCTGTTCTGGTTGCGGGTATTTTGAAAGTTTTTATTTTATTTAGAGATTGTTATTGTTTAGTATCCTTCGTCTTATTATTATTATCCTCCTTTAATATTCATCGGTAATCTTCTTCTATAGTTTTAGTATTATTATTATCTATTCAGTGAATTAATTTCTCATTTTGTTGTAGCAATTGTGTAAAAGTTGAATGAAAACTATTTTCCATTTAGAAGTCATAATGTTTTTCTATTAGCGTATTTTTTATTAAAAAAAAGTGTTGGCTATTTTTCCCATCTTGGTTGCTAATTTGACAGCAAATAAAAATACACATACAAACATAGAATAATTTACCATTATTTTTATTATTTACACGAATTTCACAAAGATTACTATTCTTATCACAATAAGATGATTGTTTTTACTGTTAATTAAACATGAGAAATAAATAGTAAACTAGAATATTTCTTGTAGATGCTATGTACTGTTCATTGCTATCTGTGATAGATGTTACAATATATGAAAGAGTTTACAATGCTGCTCTCATTGCCACAGGCATATACCCATTGCAAGCATATTGAAATAATCTACAAGTCTTCATAAACCTCAAGAATTATCTGAAGATCATATATGGCCTATGATTACTAACAATTTATTTATTGGAAATCAAACTGTCTATTAGCACTTAACCAACATAAAAACAATGGGTGGGTTGGGCACGTGATAAATTAGCCAGGAAACTTAAACAAAGAAACAGTTTTTCACTCTTAAAACTTCCAGTGTAGATATTTTATGAAGCTAACTTATGTTGCCTTCATTAAAAAAAGTTTTTATGATTTTGTTTATGGGTTTAGTCACAAATTGTTATGGTTTTTTATTATCATTATCCGTCTGAAGTTTGTTGTCAATTCTGTACTTTAGTTGCATTACATATGAATGAATTTCAACCATTAAAATTCTGTTTCGTTTTAACGCTTCGCCGAAATCGACTTTTCACAAATAAAATATTTAAGTATGAGTGATTCGTGTCCTCACTAGTAACTAGCTTCAAGGTAGGTTTCCTGGAGTTCCAGTGAGAAGCTGTGACCAGTAGAGTTTAACCGTGTCTGTTGTCAGGCAGTTACTCCTAAAGACATTAGTGGACGGTCGCTCAATATCATGAATTGGTGGAAGTTAGACATAAACGCCGTTGGATGCCGGCTCAGTGATCTAGAGGTTAGGTGTTCGCGCGCGAGACCGAAGGTTTTGGGTTCGAGTTTCGTATGTGGGGTCGTGGATGCACACTGCTGAAGAGTTACGTGCTAAGACTAAATGGACGTCCAATGCTTCCACGTTTTTAATGGTGGTCTAACATTGATCAATTCATGATATCAATATAAATTCTTAGAAGTGCTTTTCTTGTGAAAAATGAGAAAAAGTACAGATTGTAAAACACATCGGCTTGTTAGTTATAATTTATCAGTTGAACAGATGTCAGTTTCATACGACTTTCTTTTGTACCACGGTGTCATGTCATAAACTGACTATTCTTCTAACTTTTCCATCCAGTTCCAGCGTTGGCAAATAATGCGTGATATGTAAGCCGCTATGATGATTCTCGTAGAAGTTGATCAAGCCACCAAAACCGGTGTTTCAAGTTGATGACACTAGCTGGATTGTCGTGGTTACGCTGCAACATTGTGTTGTCATTCGATGTCAATAATCTTTCGAAGACAACGATGATAAAACACAGAGATTTGCCTAACATCCTCATCTGGGATAAGCCAGGTTTCGCACAGAGCTGTTCTGACCGATGGGATGTAAACCCAACATTGTACTTCCAGACTAGTATCACGATCTAGCAGAAGACAATGTAGATTGATGTAACCAGCCTGAGCTTTCATTATGCGTAGGTTGACCTCACCTGGCAAGAGACCACTAACACTCATACAAATATTCACATGAGATCCTCCTTAATCAACTATAGGGATTCCCCTCAGCTACTACGGGAACTTAGTTGCTAATGATATATTTATTTGTATAAACCCAAGTAATTTTACCAGTTAACAATCGAAAGTCTAGTGTTCAAGAGAAATACTGCGGTGGGTTAATGAATTAATTACATGGAATTACAGAGACTTTGATAAGTATCTAGTTTTTCTCTTATTTTAAAGCTAGAGAGACAATTATTCAAGTGAAGTTGTGCATCTTGTATAAACAATACTACTTGTAATATAAAGGATTATCAAGATCAGTTGGAATTATTAAATATTTGAATTTTTTATGAAGATCAACTCAGTTTAAAGATGAGAGCAGTTTGGACATAAAAATATGATCAGTGTACACATTTGAAAATAGACAATAAATGAAAACTTTCCCAATAGACACTGAACTTACTATAAACTAATCCATCTTTATTAATAAAATGTTGAAATTACCTTTCCTTCTATTTGAAAATAATGTCGACTTGATGTGACTATTTTTAATTTTATTCAGTGTAAAGTCAACAAAACAAGCAATTGATTATTTTGTAGAACTATAGTTTTATTTCTTGAAATTTTGTTTACAATCAAAGCAGGACATTAGACTATCTAAAAATGGTTTTTATCATAGATGGATGTCTTTTTGAAAAACAATGTACTAGCCATCTATTCAAACTATGTAGAATTCGTACCTACGAATCTACAATTAATAAAAACCCAAAATCTGTATACCTTATGATTTCATCACAATGATTTGGGATTTAAACTTAAATCATTACCAAAATACATAACAATTTACATTGAAGTGAATCGACTAAATATGTTAAAGTTTGCGATGTTGCACATTAAAACGCCACAAGTTAATAAAGGAATGAACAGAAAAAAAGATTATAGAGTTGAGATCATGAGTAAATTGAAGCTAGAACACTATGGAAAACCTGGAAACAATGGACGGTCGTTTCGTCCTATTATGGGACTACTCAGCAGTGTGCATCCACAATCCCGCACTTTCGAGATTCGAACCCAGGATCTACCAGTCTCGCGCCCGAGCACTTAACCGATAGACCACTGAGATTAGTCAAATATTGAGCTTCATAAAGAAATTATTGATAATACCAAAAATATGTTATTGACAAAAAAGAAAAAAATGTACATACTCATACAATAATGTAAAAATCAAGCATTTAACAAAAAAAATTATGCAAATTATATGACACCACTTCAAAGTACAATTCTATCATCCCATTTAATCACATGATTATTGATTTATTTAATTTTGTATGATATTTGAACGAAAATTTTTATTCTAAACTTATATCACATGACATTGTATGTGTGTGTGTTAAATCCATTTAATTGGTGACTTATACATACTATATTAAGCTAATTACCGCTTTTCAAATAACTGTGCTTAGATTTAAAGTAACTATTACACTGTGGGCATATGCCCACTAATTTTTTTATTCAAGAAAAAGCAAAAGTTATATCGCTTTCTCATTTTATGCAAATTCAAACTAGAAATCTCTGATAGTAAATAGTTTTCATTAATTAAAAGAAGAAAACAAGGTTGATTCTTGTGTTAGGTGTGTTTTTGATCTTGAAAAAAACACACTTGGATATCATAGTTGAAAGCGTGAATCAATTGAAGCTAGACCACCAAGACAAAACCTGGAAGCACTGGACGGACGTTTCGTCCTATTGAGGAGTCTCACAATAGGACGAAACGGCCGTCCAGTGCTTCCAGGTTTTGCCTTGGTGGTCTAGCTTCAATTGACTAATGCTTTCAACAATGCAAATACTAAATCTCCACAAAACCCCTTCTGAACTTGGATATTAGTCTGTAAACAATTAATCACTACACTAGAAATTTATCTAAGATATGCTCTATAATTTAGTTAAGCATTTGCAAACGGTTGATTTGTCACAGTGACGTTAACTGAAGCAGTATTGAAAACTGAGAAGCAGTGAGCTTCTTGGCAAGAAATGTTCATACAAACCAACGGGATCGTGCACTAAGATGTGGTGGAGAGCATAATGATTTTGGAAAACCGTTGTAGTTTTTAACTGCATATGTTTTAAATTACATTCAGCTCCATATGTCTGTCGGTAACGAAATTTATCTTCAGATTTAACTAATTACTATAAACAAGTCAACTAAATTTCCACATGTTGTTTACTTGTCAAGCAGATATATTTTGAAAGTTAACTAGAATTCTACTTGAACAACCTCAAGTCCTTCTAAAAAAAAATTAGCATGTACACCTTCCCATTATACCAGGACAACCACGTTATCCAATCTGTAGTCCTAATGGATGATTACTGAGTTCTTGTGACATTGAAGTCAGTTTATGAATGAAGTCTCCGATTCTTACTTGTAATGAAACGAATACAAATTTCTTTTTCTATGAAATCTCTAACAGGTACTTACTCTGGCCAATGTAGAATGTTGTTAGTTTTCATAGGGAGTCGGATAGTGCAGGTGAAAAACAGGTGCATAGAAATATTTTGTTTAAAAAAAGTCACAGTAGTGCCCCCAAATGCCCTGGTACGACCGAGAGTGGGGAGAGTCCGCTCTCCCTCTCCAAATGCTCTCACATGGCCACGCGTATATAGCCTCTGTCAGGGAAGTCCTGCTCACTGTATCCTCACACCACGAGTGTTGTTTACGAAATTGAGAGGACGGAAAGCGAATGTTCGGCGCTTTAACCGGGTTGGTGGACACGGAATGTCCACCTAGGGGAGTTGGAAAACCCTGATTCCGAACCAATGGTGCACATGGGCTGCAGTATCCTGAAGGAACAAATGGAGTATGAACCAATCGTCGGTCACCGGCTACCATGGGAATGCATCTCCTTACGATGCTCCACTGCCTTGTGAATTAGACCTTCAGGTTAAAGGCTCGGGTGTGGCCCCCTAAGAAAACCACCTGCTTCAGTTTGGGCACCTGGGCAGTATCGCAGCCCTCACATAAATCAAATGAGATTTGTGTGGCGCATATTTATCTGGTGCTTCCTTGTACCAATATTTGTGTTTAAATAATAATAAAATAATAAATGTGACTAGTTTCTATGCCTATATATATATATATATATATATATATATATATATATATATATATAATAAGAGCTTAGTATCATGTTAATAAATTTTTGTCTGTTGATCATCCTAACTTTTAGTTCTTTGCTGATAATGATAATATGTTACACGGAGTGATATTGTCATTATCATTCTTCACATTGATATCGATCATCATGCTAGTATGAAACTACAACTTCTACTAAAAACTTTTGATGGTACTCAAGATTCTTTGTTGTTTTTGACACTTTATTTGTGGCATCTTTGGAGTCTATAAGGCCATCAACTATCGGTTCGAGACAACTACTTGCTTGGGTTCAGTAAGATACTCATGATCAATCGTTGAAGACTTTGGGTGACATCTTAAAACAGATTGGAAAAGAGTAGATTCATTCATTATCTGTTATCTTCTAAAACTTGAGATTTAGCTTTATTTCATACTTATTATTGTAGAACAACATAGACTGTATGTCCATTCTTTATTACTATCATTGAAATGTTCATTAGTTGGACTCCTTTGCTACTCTTCTTGCTGTTTTCATCTAGTATTGGTGACGTAGTGTGGCGATCAGCACCGATGGACTCTACCTAGGCCATGACTAATTTACACTCAATTTTTGTATTAACTCAAAAATAAAATATGAACTAAATCTCATCTGTGTCAGGCATGTCGATTTTAGCCATCGAGTATAACAGCTTGTCAAACACTGTTTTAACGATTATTTTCTGAAGACTACTTACGCTCACATGCATATAGGTATTAAAGCGTTCAGTGACGCTAGATTTAATTACATGTTTGTTGTCTTCACGTGCACATTCGGTCAAAAACGTAAACGACAAGGCTTAAGAATAATTAATAAACCGCGATGACTGTAACAAGAATTTACTTTAGTAATTACGATCAAATCTCATTGTA